AGAACCAGAAAGATCTGGGTTAAAGTCCTGCCTCTGACACATATTGGCTCTGTGATTCTAGGCAAAGCTTTTAAACTTTCAGTGCTCTAAGCAACTTTCTAAGACTGCAAACTGAAACATATTTGAAGATATGCATTAGTTTGAAGTTTCCTTCCTTATTCCAATTCCCTACACCAAATAAATCACAAGTCAGACCAGATAATGGGGTCTTAGTAATAGTAATTGACTGATTGATTGATTGACCTAAACAAATGAAAGTGCATAGGGAGAGTTCATCCCCTTTACCCACACTGGTCAATGACACAGTTCAGGCTGATGTCTGGATGTGAATGTTTTCTTTCCTTTGTTAATTTAGAGAGTTTACAAAAGGTTATTGTTCATTCGTGTCCAATTCTTTGTGACCCCTTTTGGGGTTTTCTTGCCAAAGATGAGTGTTTTACCATTTCTTTCTCCAGCTCATGAGGAAATTGAGGCAAACAAGGTTGACTTGCCCAGGGTCATTCAGCTAGTAAGTATCTAAGGCTGGATTTGAACTCATGAAGATGAATCTTCCTGACTCTAGGCCCAGTGCTCTATCCTCTATGCCATCTGGCTACCCTTTGAAAAAATACGAATTAGTAATAGTATTTTTCAATAAAATTATAATAGCTTATGTCCCCTGGAGACATAATTCCCTATCAGTTGACCAGAAGCTGGAATCTCTGACCTATCTTAAAATCTGTGCATATTCCAATTTACTGTTGTATCTACCTCCTTGCTATTTCAACAAGGTAAAGTGTACAGCATTCATAATCACTCATAAATCTTTATGTCACAGGGAAAATCCAAAATGAGAATAAGGCATAATTTAAGGAAATGCAGAGAAACAAAGCATATAAAAAGTCAGGTGAAAATCAAGCATGGGAAGGATAGAGGTTAAACAATCTTTTCTGGAACTTCCTTACATTTGTCAGAGACAGAATAGTTGAGCCATCCTTCACACAGGCATCTCCATGTGATCAGAGGTTTAGCCCCAAAGGCTATATATCACAGTAGCTATATATTTCTCACCACCACTCCCTTCCTCTCCCTCCTCCTCCTTGTGTATGGGAGATCATGACACCATAACTAGCACTGCTGCCACTCTGCTCCTGACTACTGCTGCTTTACTCTCTGCCTTGCTCCCTCCCTCTTTTCTCATCCTTCAGTCTAGTACAAAGCTTCTCTACAGTCAGTAGAGTGTTGGAATAATATATAACAAAGTTGGAAAGGTCAGTTGACACCAGGCTGTGAAGGACTTTACAGGACAAACAGTATCTTATCTCAAAGTCCCTACATTTTGTTGAGTAGGGGAGTTACATAGATAGAACTTTGCTAATGGAAAATCATTTTGGTGGTAGGATAGATTGAAGAAGGGAGAGACTTGAGACAGAAGAACATATTAGGAAGCTCCTGCAATAGTCCAGAAATGATAAGGATTTGAACCAAGGTGATACACTTGTGAGTGATGGGAAGAGGGCAGATACAAGATATTGTAAAGGTTGAAACTAAACACCTTTGCACCTGACTTAATACATGAGACATGATACCATTGGAAATTATCATATTCACTCTACATTTAATGCATATCAAGACATTTTAGTACATTTTTATACGTTAAACTCCCTAAAAATCAGGTTCAATAAGGACCAAATTTCTCATCTGTGTTGAACATTTTTTTAAAAACAGATTTCTAACCCAAAAAAATTCAGATTATGTTCAAAATTCAAAATATTGTGAGTAATGAGACTTCAACACTGATTAATGTCACTACCTCCACCTTACTTATAATAAAGCTGTAATCAGAAGTACAATCAAAGGATTTCCATGGTGGTCTATATTCACTCTTTATCAGTAACAGCTACTAAAGTTCTATTAGCTCTAAAATCATAGGCTCATAAGATCATAGATTTAGAGCTTAAGGGGACCTTAGAAGTCCTTTAGTTAAATCCCCTCACTTTACAGATGAGGAAACTAAGGCCTATTCAATCAATCAGCAAGTATTTATGAGCTTTTTGTTCAGGGAAGTCCAGGGCTGAGGTCTTCACATCTTAGTGAGGTCAACCATCCACTCCATCAAAAAAGCACATCATGTGCTAGACTTTGGAGATATGAAGACAAAATTGAAAAGTTCCTGCTCACTACCAAGGGGAACAACATACAAGCCTATAATTAAATACAAAATATATACAAAGTAAGTAGTTTTCTGTGGTTTTGTAGAAGGGGTGTACTGGCAGCGGAAGGGATCAGGAAAAGCCTCATATAGAAAATTATGTTTGTACAGGGCTTTGAAATAAATTGAGATACTATGAGGTTGAAGCGTGAGAGTGGGTCTCAGGCATGGGACAGTGCAAAGGCACAGAGGTAGTAGATAAAATGTCATGTATCAGGAACTGCTATTAGGTCAATTTGGCTGTATCATAGACCATAGAGGAGAATATAGTATATTGAAAAATATTCTTAAAAACAGAAGGTTTCTAAAATAAAAAATTCAGATTAAGTTCAAAATTTGAAATAACAAGTATAGATTCTAACTCAAGTCTCAAGGCACTAACACTGATTCTGTTCTGTTATTTGCTTGCTCATTATTCCAGCCTATTTACTAACTTTGGATTTTGTGTTAGGATCAGGGTCTGCACACTTCTGGGAGGAATGTCTAAGCTGCACTTTTTTTCCCTTGGATTCTTTCTACAACTTTCTTGGAGTATTAAAGGTCATGTCATTCCATGAACTCATGAACAGCTTAGGCTGAAGACCTGTGAGTGTTCAGTGTTATGAAAGTGACACGATCTAAGGCAAAATCAGTTGACTGCCCTTCTGGGTTCAGCTCTTCAAGTTCCTCAGTGAGAAATGTGGGTCTGAGCAAAATATCCATCTGGTTTTTCCTGCTTAGAAGTCCCACTAGACTGCTATTAGACTCCACCACTATCAGCCCACTGTGAGGCTCTTTATGCTCAGAGTTACAGAACTGTAGACTCAACTTTGGTCTGAAATCCCTTTCTTGAAATCACTATGGACTTCAACCTGGCTGGAGTCTAGAACTGAGTCTCTGCTCTGCTGGGGGGTCAGAGCCTCATAGCTACTGTTTGCTTCTGAACCTGTAGCGGTGGCCTGACTGCTCATCTCCACCACCCCTAGACAAAGGTTTAATCTTCAATTTGCCCTGGATCTGTGTCACAGAAATAGATAGCGAGCAACAGAACTGCCAGATGGCACTTGTTCCCATACCCTGCACTAGTTCAGGGGCCCCCAAGACCTTTTTCTACACGAGAGCTTCCTGCCACAGTGCACAGACTCAGTCTTCTTTCAGGACTTGGGCACTGAAATAATCTGGGCAGCTCACTATTGGCCAGATCCTGTCCCCAGTATCTATAAATTTCTACATCTCTCAGTTCCAACCTGGCCTGGAAAGACAACTCACTTATACCTTTTTCTTATCAGGATTCAGTCTGGATACATTTTCTAGATCTTTGTGGAGGAGGTGTGATGGAAGAGCTGAGCTATGAATACATTCTCTACCATCTTGACTCCTTACTTCATGACTCTCTAAAAGGAACCTAAGTTTTTTTTTTTTTCTGGCTGCCACATCCTATTGTTGACTGAAACTGACTTTACATTATACTAAAACTAGTAGATCTTTTTCAGACAAATTGTTTTCTAGCCACAACTCCTCCATCTTGTTCTGTTATGTTTGTTGTTATTTTAGTTACATTTTGTTATGTTCTTTAAGTTATTTTTTGTCTACAAGTGTAAGATTTTAAATTTTCTCTATTAATTGTAATTTTATTAGACTGTCTCACATTTTAGTCTGCAAAGATATTTGTTTTTGAATGCTTAGTGTCAGACAAATGAAATAGCTTTCAGGCATCTGAAAATTTGATGAATATACAATATATCCCTTTATCCAAGCCATTGATAAAAATGTTGAAAAAATACCAAAATACAGATTAGTGCTACACTAACTGAGGTTGCTAGATGGCACAGTGAATACTGTGCTCTCTCTGGAGTGAGGCAGACTCATGTTCCTGAGTTTAAATCTGGCCTCAGACAGTCACTAGCTGTGTGACCCACAGCAATTCAGTTAACCAGGTTTGCCTTAAAATCCTCATCTGTAAAATGAGCTGGAGAAGGAAATGGCAAATCACTCTAGTATCTTTGTCAAGAAAATTCCAAATAGGGTCACAAAGAGTCAAACACAACTGAAATGACTCAACAAACTATACTAATTACCAAAGAAATACTTTATAGAGCTAGATAAAATAATAACAAATTATTTGGAGGGGGAAAAAGGTCTAAAGTCCCAACATAAATAATGAAACAAAAATAAGAATGTAGGGAGAATGACATCTGCTGGCACTAAATTGTGAAGCTATAGTCCTAAAGGTGATTTGATATTGTTTAACAAATAAAAATAAGATTAGTAGAATAAGCCACATAAGAATGAATAAGAAACAACTAAACTCAATAACTCAGTATCAGTAAACATAGGAGCTTAAATTACTTGAGAAAGAACTGCTAGAGAGAACTGGCCAATTAAACTAGAAAGCAATTTGCAGAAATTTGGGTTATATCAAAATTTTATACTATATGCTATGGTATGCACAAATTGAATAAATCTGAATATTCAAGGACACATCATAAAAAATTAAAAGAGAATATTATCAAGATACCCTTTTACAGATATGGTTAAGGGGAGAACTCTTCACCAAACAAGTGATTAATGCAATCACAAAAGATATGGTAATTTTGTTTATATTAAATTTATAAGCTTTACACAAACAAAATCAATATTTTGTTTAGGAAATAATATTTGCATGAATATCTCTTAAATGGGTCTATGGACGAGTGGTGAGAACCAATTACAAAAAGGATAACTTCAAACTGTTAATAATGATGTGAAACATAACTTCAAATCACTAATAATAAGAGAAATACAAATCAAAATAACACTGAGGTTTCATGTCACATTCAGTAAATTGGCAAAGATGACAAAAGCTGAAAGCAGTCAATGTTGGGAGGACTGTAAAAAGATAGACACACTAATACATTCTTGGTGATGTTATGAATTGATCTAATAATTCCAAAAAATAATTTGGAATGATGCTTTAAAAAGTGACTTAAAATTTTTCATGTACAACAAGGAGGTCAAAGACAAAAAGTAAGGTTCCTTATACACCAGAATATTCATAGCAACATTTTTTGTGGTAGTAAGGAATTGAAAACAAAGTAGATGCCCATCAAATGGAAGAAGGCTAATCTAATCATGATATATGAATATAATTACTACACAATATTACTACATATGAAAAAGAATCAATATGAAGAAATATATTTGGAAATTAAAATAATAAAGTAAAATAGATATACAAAAAATATAATATATAATATAAATATGTATATAAATAATATATAAATAAAATATATCTACAAAAGGTTTTTCTTTAATTTAAAAAGAGGGGGAAACTGTTGGCATAGATCAAGGACTGATCTGTAGACCACTTCCCTAGATACCTCCACCTTTGGTAACTGGATTTCAGAATGGAGAGGCTTCATCTTGAAAAGACGAACTCAATTACAAAAAAAAAAAAACAAGCACTTGTGAAATTCATCCTATATAATGGGAATTAGACAGGTACTAGGGATACAAATGCAAAATTAAATGGTCCGTGTTGCAAAAAGCTTACTTTGTGTTAGGCAGAAAATGATACAAATTGTATGAACAAAATACGGGAATAATGACTGGGCCTATAATTTTTTTTGTTTTTGTTTTTTGGATTTTGGGGAGGTTTTTTGTATTAGAAGCTATAAGATCAGGAAATTTCCTCTACCAATGCAAGTTGGCACTTATTTTTGAAATTAATATTCTTAGAGAGCTACGTCTAAGAGAAGTAGTTACTTGAGTTACTGAACAGTTGTTACTTGTCCAGGGTCATACAACCAAGTGTCAGAATCTGAACTTAAACTCAGGCCTCTCCTGCGTGAAGACAATCTTTCCATCATACTACATAGAAAACAAATAGAAGATAATTGGGGATAGGGAGGTAATAGCTGCTAGGTGTATCAGCAAAGGCTTCATATCAAAGGTGGCATTTGAACTGAGTTTTAAAGGAAACGAGACTCAAAAAGGCAAAAATGAAAATGGAGTATGTTCTAGGCATGGGGTACATCCATATTGCCAAGGCAACAGCAAAGATAGGGTGTTGTGGATGAATAACAGTATGAAGGCCAATTTGGCTGAACTATAGAGCATGTGAAGAACCAAGGGTCAGAAGACCTGAAATCAAGTCTTACATCTGATAATTCCTAGTTACATGAAATTATCAAATCATTTCAATTCTCAGGGTCTGTTTCCTCAGCTGTAAAATGAAGGAGTAGACTAGGTGATCTCCTAGTTTCCATCTAGCTCTAACACCCTATGACACTAAATTATTTCAGATTTGAAATTCTTCACTATCTCTTGCCAGTCATTAGCTGAATTGTCCCAATTGTGCCAACACTTGCTCCTACCAGGAACCCCCTCTACCTTATACCCAAGAGCATTTTTTGCCATTCATTAGCCTTCCTAACCGACTTTCCTGCTTTAGGAAAGCTGTCTGGTAGCTTATAGATACATGCAAAACCAAAAGAAAAGAAAAGCAGTTTCAGCAGCAGGTGCTGTGTTTCTAAAGATTTCAAGATTGCTTCTTCAGCATCTCATAGAGATGACCCTGGGTTCTCAAAGGCTACCCTAGTTTAGTGTAAAGTCTGTCAGGTCCTACAATTTAGAAGGACCTTGAGCGTAGGACTCTCAATGCATATCTATGATCCAGGAATCATCCTAAAACTGGAGAACCTCATCAGAAAGATGATGTGGTGGGAAAATGCTGTGTTTATAATCAAATAACCTGAGTGCAATCTCGGCTCTGTTGCTTACTATCAATGCGGTTTTGAGCAAATCATTTACTCTCTCTGAGCCTTAGTCTGCTCAAGTGCAAAATGAATGGCATTGAGCTAGATGACCTCTAAGCTCCCTCTATTTCTGAAATTATGATATTATAAACAAAACTCTGGCCACCTTTGTTTTTAATTATTATACAAAAATAATCTAAAAAAGTATGGAGGGATTGTGATAAGTACATGTTGAGGACATGCCAACATCATAGATCAAGTATTGAAGTTATCTTTAAAGTATGAAAAATCACCAGAATCTGATAGTAATGGATTTGCATCTTACCCACCAACTGTCCTTTTCTTGTTGTCTTAATCCATCAATTAATTTTCTAAGCAAACAATATTTATTGCATGCCCACAGTATTCAGAGAAGTAAGGTAGAAAGATACAAAGTCATAAGGACACATGGTCCTTGTCCTCAAGGAGTTTATCATTTAACAGTGTTTCCCTGTATTTATATTCTTATTCAGACATGCAAATTCAAGTCCCTGGTAAACATAAGTAATGGATACACAGGTATATATATGAACCCACAGAATAAGAAATGATAGGTGGCTTCAATTCATAAGTAAATACCTTCCATTATCTTTTATTTCTCTTCAAGGGGCCCAATTACTGGTCCCAAGAGTTGACATCTAGAGCCATATCTAGTTATGGTACAGGCACCAGTCAAAAACATTTATTAAGCATTACAATGTGCTAGGCATGTTGCTAAGCATTGTGAATGTAAATACAAATAGAAAGAAAAACCATCCATGCCCTCGAGAAGCTTACGTTCTAATGGAGGAAGACAACACATAGGAGGAAGCTGAAAGAAGGAAGCATGATAAAAGTCCTCAGTGCAGCCTGAAGAGCAATGGGACGAGGCTGGCCTGGGAGCCCTCCTCAAATGAAGGTTCTGGGAGGAGCCTTCTAATCAAAGGGAGAGGCCGAAGAGGGGAAGAGTACTTCCAATGTGTGAATTACATGCAGTGAGGCTTCAGGATGAAACTATGGGGTATGAAGACGGAGTCCATAATATAGAGCATAACCTAGGTCTTTAGTTAAGGGTCACTAAATAGCAGGTAGAGGTGGTCCAGCTTCCCAACCTTGCAGGGCTAGGTTGAAACAATGGAATAAAGTTTTCTCTCAATTCCCACAATTGAACAAAGTTTTCTCAAGAGACAGAAATTGGACTAGACCCATAATAATAGAAAGGGTATTGAGCTAGATCCAGAACTGAGTTACAAGATGGAGTCAGTGTAGTTCCCTCAATTTCCACCACTTCTTGCTACTCCAGTCCCCTAAATTCCCTCAATTTCCCACTTCTGATTCATCAGGGAGTGTTCTCAGACTGCAAATAGCTCATGCCATTTTCTACTATTGACTCCATGACAATTCAGACAACCATCCCTATAATCAAAACTCAGAACAATAGTAAATTATAGTCCCAAAAGTTTTTATCTCACATGGCAAAATCTCACTAATCACTATTTAGGGTTTGAATATTATTAATCCCATGCTTGCCTAACAGTTAAATTTTCTTTATCCTTTACCTATAAATTAAAACTAACCACATTCTGAGGTTACAAATATACTTGATAATTGACTCATATTAATATATTGAAGTTATATCTTTAAACCATCCTATATATTTTCCTAATTTTTATGTGATAGCCAAAGTTATTCAAATGAAAACTCACTCTCTATTATTGTAAACTTATGATGATGATGATGTTTTAAAATAAAATATACCCCATTAAATATTTAACAGTTTTCAAATATCTTTTTATCACATTCTTTTAAAAGTTCAATTCATAATCTAACAGCATCCAGATAAAAAAAAATAAGTTATTTGTCTAACAACATTTCTGATACAATGATGTCTCAAATTTCACAGTATAAGAAAATTTAGAAATACAATAATATTGTAAAATAATACAATAATAATAATATACATAATAGCATATATTTAAAACCTGAAACAAAACTTATTACCAGTCAGATGACATCAATTCAGCAGAATGCATTTCCAAATTATCCTACATAGAAATTTAATCTTATTATCTTTGGTATTTTATAGTAACCACATCTAAAACCCAGTATACAATTACAGTCAATTAAAGAAATAATAACAATAATCAACATTTAAATAGTGCTTACCATATACAAGTCACTGTGCTAAGCACTTCACAATCATTATGCCATTTTGACCCTCACAACAACCCTGGTACCCATTATTATTTTTCTCTTTACAGATCAGGAAACTCAGGTAAACAGAGATAAGATAACTTGCTTAAGATCACACAGCTAATTAATTTTCTGAGACTAGAATGTAACTCAGGTTTCCTTGCATTTTTCCAACAAAAGTTCTTGTTGTTCAAAACCTTTATTTGGGGATGTGATCTGAGATGAGAGGGGTTAACAGGGTCAGAGGGGGAGAGTCTCTGAGCTGGGGTTGATAGGGCTCAGGGGGTCCCTAATTTAAACAATCTTTTATCTTTTAATGGTCAAGAAAGGACTAACAAGAGGCAATTATAAATGCAAACCACATACCTATATATTTTTTTTTCTTCACTCTAGGATCACTTTCAAAATAGCTACCTTCCTTCATTACATTAAAATAATAACTCTACCAGTTGGGGTAGGGGGAATAATCTAAGTGCTATTTACCCTAAAACTTTTACAGAATTTAATTCTTATACCTAAAACTCACTAAAATATTTCAGAAGGGGATGAGTTACTGGAATCAACTCAAAGTCCCAGCAGTTCTCCCCTACAATCTTAATAAATTTAATCTCCAGACTCCCTAATAATTAATCTCCAATTCTCCTTAATCTACTGAGATGTTTTAGCAGTCGTTTTAACCTCATCTTCCACTGCAAGCCTAAAGGGAGAGTTAGTCTTGTTTACTGGGATAATTACTTCAAGTATGAAATTTCATTCATCTTCCTAGACTACTAAACTTTTTGGCTGCAGCTTTTTAGAAGTTTTTCTGATGGGCTGCACTTTCTTCTTACAAATCATTCAAGGTAACAGAAGCGGAGCAAGAAGGACAGGACACAAAGAAGAAACCCCTTTAGGGTGAGGTGGGCCAAAACCATCACTTAAAGCTGCCCAGCAAAACCAAAAGTTCATCTGACCAGAATAAGATTTTTAAATGTCTAGCCTTATTTTTTTTTCAGTTTGCAATAATGAAAAGGGTCAAATTACCACTTGAATCCATTGCAGATTTATGTCAGATGCCACAGAAATCACTAGGATACTGTTTAGTCATTCCAATTATCAGAAGCATCCCCTGGTCCCATGCTACCAAAAGTCTATTCAAAGGGGAATCCACCAATATCTTGCTACTACTGCAACCCATCTTCCTTCACCACCCCGGGGGAAAACTTAAAAACTAAAACCACCCCAATTCCTGGGGCAAATTTAATCTAAAGCTAAACCACCTCAATCCCTGTGGCAAACTTAATCTAAGAATACTACATTTTATTAGATTAGTAACTATGTAAATAGCATTTGAGGTCACTGCAAAATTAATTCAATATCCAAAAACAACCAACCAGCAGTTTTTCTTTTCTTCTCTCCAAATCCCAGCTAATGTCCTAGAGGGAGACTCAATGGAACAGGATGTAGAAAGCCCAGTAACCATTCACCAGCCAAAATTGCCTAAGCAAGCCAGAGATGATCTACCAAAACACATCAGCAGAGACCGAGCTAAGAGAAAAATCCAGAGGTACGTGAGGAAAGATGGAAAGTGCAATGTTCACCACGGCAATGTGAGGGAGACCTACCGTTACCTGACTGATATCTTCACAACCTTAGTTGATCTGAAATGGAGGTTCAACCTGTTGATCTTTGTTATGGTTTACACAGTGACATGGCTCTTCTTCGGCATGATCTGGTGGCTTATAGCTTATATCCGAGGAGATATGGACCATATAGAGGACCCCACATGGACTCCATGTGTCACTAACCTCAATGGGTTTGTCTCAGCTTTTTTATTCTCAATAGAGACAGAAACTACCATTGGTTATGGCTACCGAGTCATCACAGACAAGTGTCCTGAAGGAATTATCCTCCTTTTAGTCCAGTCTGTGTTGGGGTCTATAGTCAATGCATTCATGGTAGGCTGCATGTTTGTAAAAATATCGCAGCCTAAGAAGAGGGCAGAGACCCTGGTATTTTCTACTCATGCGGTTATCTCCATGCGGGATGGGAAGCTATGCCTGATGTTCCGGGTGGGGGACCTTAGGAATTCCCACATCGTTGAGGCCTCAATTAGAGCCAAGTTGATCAAATCTAAACAGACCACAGAAGGAGAGTTCATACCACTGAACCAGACAGATATCAATGTGGGGTATTACACAGGGGATGATCGTCTGTTTCTCGTGTCACCGTTGATCATTAGCCATGAAATTAATCAACAGAGTCCTTTTTGGGAGATCTCCAAAGCCCAGCTGCCCAAAGAGGAACTAGAAATTGTTGTGATCCTAGAAGGAATGGTGGAGGCAACAGGTAAGAAGGTTCTTTACATTCTTGAACTTTTGAGGTATCTGTGTTCATTCTTTAAGATGGGCAGACATGATTAGTTCCTAAGAAAACTCAAGATTTAAGTGCAAACTGGGCATAGAAATCTGAACTTGAACACTAATAATTTTTTTAGTCTTTATAATACTTTTCTTAAAGAAACAATCCTAGGACCTAACATCTACCTACCAGAGGACAAAAGCAAACATTGCTTTAAAATAAATAGTACTAATGTATCTTGAAGTTGAAATTATTTCATCATCTCCCCCTACAAAAAGTAAATCTGTCATCTTGAAAATATCAAAAAATTCTGCTCTCAGATATTTCCTAGAAACTGTTGCTAGTTGATTTATTATTGACCTATGAAGAAGTTAAATCTTTTAAAGGAAACCAGATAAATTGCTTCGGCAAATTCAATCTTAAATTTTCTTTGAAAGATATTTACAATCCCCTTAGTGTGCCATAGCTGTCTCAAATTACTCAAAGAGAATGGAAGAATAGCTGTAGCCTACTGTCTCCCTCCCAAACCTAACCACTGAACTCTCAAGAAACATCATTGAACAGGAATGCATATATGAAACTGAATATTGGCTAATGTCCTCAGTAAGAAAGAAAAATTATAAAATTAAATAGTGATAATATTGTTTCGATTTTAAGTAGGCTTTCATTAAAGCTATAAATGCATAAGTAAGCAAAATGTATTTGAATTTTTTAAGTATGAATTCTACTCTTATAGTATAACATATAAGTATAACATATATAAGTATAGAATAACATACTCTCTAATAGGGTTCAGTCTTGAATCCTGTTTATACTTCTATTAATATTAATTATCTGTTTTAAGAAAGCTTTCATTAAATCTGCAAGTAAAGCAAAAATGTATTTGAATTATGGAATTATGAATTGTACACATTTTATACTTTCCAATAGGGTTCAGTCAATATTCATCCATATTGGCACTCATAATAAAGGCATACAATCTTTACTGAACCAACATGATTGTCCTTCACATTAGGAATATAATGTCTCCATTGGAACTCAATGGATCAACTCACTCCAGCATTGGCAGATTAGATCCCCAGAGGATTGACTGCCACTTTCTACTTTCAGGGTTCGAGGGGGTAAGCATGCAGGTGGTTTTCATTTTAAAAGTAGCTCGTGTGTCCTGGGAATTCACCAACCTAGAGGTCCAAAGATCCTCTCAGAGAGTAATTCCTCCCATCTTGGTGCCCCTGGAGTTAAAGAAATCAAGAGGCAAGAAGGTTTCATGAGGATAAACTGATTGGCAGTTACCAGGTAGATAACAAGAAGATAGCTCATGTGATTTTACAGCCTTGGGGTAAAATTACTGGAGGCTAAAGGAGTCTATCCCGTGAGGTTGCTCAATCACTTTCTTTACTTAGGAGGTTAAATAATAAGGATAGGTAATTTTGGAGACAATGGCTTAACCTTTGGGTGCTCAAGAGTTGCCAAAGATCAGGTTTGTTCTAGTGAGAATGTTTTCTCTGCAGTTAATCCTGTCAGAATATGCTGGTGGGGCTGGAGGTCTCTAAGATAATGGAGGCCTCCTTCAAGATAGAATAAAGTACAAATCTAGGTTGTGCCTCTATTTCTTTGACTTCTAAGGTTACTTTTTTTTCAGGGGAGATGTTTCAAAAAAAAAAACCAAAACACCAACATCACACAGGTTTTATTCATTTCTTCCACAGTCCTCACAGAAATGTTTACCTTCAACAATTAGCCAATAAATTCAGTTCTTTAACAAAGGTGTTTATTCAAATGGCTTAGAAAGAACTGTACAGCAATTTCAAAACATTTCGCCCAACATTAGAAGTGCACTCTCCTACAAATGCATCTATTGTGACTAAAGGGGTTAAGAAATATCATGAATTTAAAATACAATGTTAGGGAGGCATGCCTGTAACACATGTGGCCAAGGCATCTGAAAAGTCTGGAACTACCATTCCTTTCCCTTCAAAGCACCCTGTATATGAAAGAGTTGCTCAACTAGGCTCTTCTCAGGGGGCAGAATTTCCATAGGAGCAACTCAGCTGGACTAAGTTGCAGAGTGCTTGAAGGAGGGGCAATCCGATGCTTGGCTGGATGGAGCAGGTTACTGTGCTGCTCTCTACCAGGCCCTGCTGCTGGTGTTCCTGGCTGGGTAGGACACACTGCCACTAGATAATGGCTGCTGTTTGGAACCAGAGAGGTCGCTGTGCTACTGGTCAGCTGTAGCCGAGCTAGACTGGGCAGGTTGTGAGTGTTAGCGTGCTTTTTTCAGCTGGGGTGCTAGCTCTCTTTCATCTAGAGCAAACACTCTAAGTAACTTTAATTTAGGACCTATCCCACTTTTGACTCTCTGATAGCCTCAACTTTGAGGTTATTTTTCACCTCCAGGCAGGAGACAGAAAGAGTCTTGCCTCCCCTACTGAACAAGAAGTCAGCTAACCCACAGTAAGCCATTACACCTTGCTCTTTTGGAAACCTATGGGTAAGTGACTAGAAACAATGTATGAATGTAGCCTATGCCCTGGAGGCAATTTCATTCTCTAACTGGCCTCTTCATACACATTAAAGACTCCCAACATTTTTTAGGGTGTCTGAAGATCTATCCTTCATCATAAGGCTTTCTCTTTTCTATTTCTAGGTCTTTCTGTTGTAGCCCATCATGTTTTGCTCTACTTTCTCTGGGGCATCCTCTCTTGAAGAAGTATAAACAGAATTCATTATTTTTTTGATTTCCTAATTGTTCTTCCCTGTTCCAAACATCAGGTTTAACTTTTAAAAAACCTCTCCCTTCTTGGTTGTAAGATTTCAAAGTTAGCATGCATCATACAAAAATAATGTCCATGGTTTTTTGAACAGAACATCACACTATCTTGGAACAAGATGACATCATGTGACTGGTTGTTGCATAGAACTGAAGAATATTAGGTAATAGATCTAGAGTCCTTAGACCTTAGGTGTTTTGGAGTCCAACAAAAAGATTGCCCAAGGTCACACAGGGAGCAAGTCACAGAATGCGCTCTAAACTCAAGTTTTATGAATTCAAGTTTAATGCTCTTTCCATTGCACCACAATTTTTCACAGGATGTTTGGAGAAAAGAGTTTTGTAAATCTTGAAGTAATATATAAGTATAATCCTTACTGTTACTGCTGTAGTTATTGTTATGTTCATACTGAGGTCCTTTTGGGGGATTTATTGGCACAGATACTGGAGTAGTTTGCTATTTCCTACTCCAGCTCAATTTACAGATAATGAAACTGAGGCAAACCAGGTAAATGACTTGTCTAGTGTCACACAGTAAGTGTCTTGAACTGCACCACCTAGCTGCCCCCAACTGAGGTTGGTTGGCAATCAACAAAGGTAGCACAAAAAGCTAGAATATTTATGGGTCAATATGGACAAGAATCACACACAATGATAAAACATAAGGTATCATAACCTGCCTTGGAAATGGAGCATGCCCCCACTGATGAAATCAAAGGTTCGTCAAAGTAATGAAATAAGATAAAAAATTAAGTAGTCTTTAAATACTCAAGGATTGTACAGTATGTATAAACTACAATGTTGGACAATTACTTGGACTCAAAAGATCTAAAGAAGTCAACTAGTCTCTCTCTCTTGCCTTAGGCTAGAAATCACTTCAGAAAAAAAAACACCTTCAGAGGTAACTGATTTCACTGTACCCTCTTTACAATTCAATTTAATGAATCTTCTAAAGAAATACTAAATGCCCAGCATAGTGCTAGGCTTTGAACACTTATACAAAGAAATATAACTCAAAGGCACTGGCCATATGGAGATTATAGTATAGTGAAAGGCTTTTTAGTAGCTAGCATTTATACAGCATTTCAAGGCTTACAAAACTCTATAAAGATTAATTTTATTCTAACAACCCCAGGAGGTAGGTAATATTAATATCCCCATTTTGTAGAAGAGAAAACTGATGCAGTTCAAGGTTAACTTACTTGCCTAGGGTCACACAGCCACTAAATATCTAAGGTCAGATTTGAACTCATATCTTCCTGACTCCAAATCCAATTGCCTATACATTGCACTACCTGTTTATTTTATGCCTTATACAAATAGTTATAATATTAGGCAAGATGTTGAAGTTCAGTAAAAAAGGCGCAAGGTGTTATACAGGCTCAGAAGAGAGGAAAATCATTTCCAGGGAGTTAGGAGTTCTTAACTTTTTCTGTATCATGGACTGCTCTGGCATTATTGAACCCTTCCCAGAAATGCATAAAATAAAATACACAATATTATAAAGGAAACATATTGAAATAAAGATGTAATTCTTTCCACCGAATCTATGGGCCCTCTGAAATCTATCCATGGACTCCATTCCATAGACCCCAGGTTAAGAACCCCTGACGAAGGGGGGAACAGAGTGAAGGTGATATTTGATCTGGTCTTTGAAGGATAAACAAGCACCGGACAAGATAAATTTTGCATGAGGTAGGTGCTTAAATTTTTGGTGAATGAATTACTGAATGAAATTAAGTGATGTTCCAAGGAGAAAAGAGTAGAACAAAAGCACTGAAATAGCATTGAACTGTAAGAATTTTATATACAGTCTGGAGCAAGGAAATTTCAAGTAGAGACCAACATGCAACATCACATACCATCATGAAGGTCATAGTTCATCATCATCTTTATCATTTTTTAAATGCTCACTGTGTGCCAGTCTAAGCTAAGCTTGGAAACTGCTAAGTGATAAAGATATAAAGAAAGGCAAAAATAATCTCTGTCCTCAAGGAGCTTATATTCTAATGGGGAAAAAACATGCAAATAATCCTGTACTTACAAGATATATGCAGTGTAAATTGGAGTTACCTCCAATGAGTTCCTGTCTCAGAGGACAGCAATGGGATGTGTGGAGGAGGGAACAGACATCCAGAAAGGCCTCTTGAAGAATGGGATTTGAGTTGAGTTTTAAAGAAAATTGAGGAAGAGGAAAACCAAGAGAGACTAGTATCAA